TACGTGTGATCACAGAATGTAATCCATATGACACCAATTCATTGAAATTTGTCGAGGCCAGCACTTTGGCCTCGCAAAGCATTGGTTTTCATAAATGTTCCTCATGTGCTTATAAATACATGTTCTTGGGGAACAAGATCAGTCATTATGTTGTTCATACCTATACCCTTGCTAATTATTTTGTTTACTTGATGTAAGAAAAGGGTGACTATTTTGAGCAATCTAGGAAGACTTGTTTGTCTAGAAAAACAGCTCTTTCTGAGTGTTTTATAAAGTTTTCTCGTAACAGGCATTTTGTGTTTGAATAGTTTTAGGTTTACAGAAAAGATTTGATGACAGAGCCCAGTTCTCATATACTCCACATTTAGTTTCCATTGTTAACATACTATATTAGTATGGCACATTGGGCATAATTAGGTAGCAAATATTGATAAATTATTATTAGCTAAAGTCCAGACAGGAAGCATTTGAGATCTTGTTCCCTGGCATATTGTTGTCAGTTTGGCTCAAATAAACTCTCATAAAAAAATAAAAATAAAGTCCAGATTATTCCAGCGTTCTTAGTTTTTAACTGACGTCCTTTTTTCTGACTCAGGATCCCATACACTTAGTCATCGTGTCTTTCCTCTCCTCCTGGTTGTGACAGCTCCTCAGACTTTCCATGTTTTTAATGACCTTGACAGTTTTGAGAAGTATCGGTATTGGTTGGCTATTATGTTCTTCAGTTACGTCAGCTTTCTCTACTGTTTTCTCATGATTCGACTAGGGTTTTTGGTTTGGGGGATGGAAGATCATAGAGGTAAATTGCCATTCTCATCACAGCATGCCAAGAGCACATATTATTAACGTGGTCTCTCTGTCGATTTAACTTTGATCGCCTGGTGATAAAGTTGTATACATGTGGCAGTCACTTTAATTTTTATTATAATGGAAAGTCATTGTTAATAATATTTTAATGTAACGCAATAGACGAGAATCCAGAGACTTTAAATTTCTACTTAACTGTCTCTGTGAGTTCTGTCTGGTCACTTGACCTCTCTGATCCTCGACTTTTGTTGTTATTGTAAAATCAAACAGTTGTTGGGCTGGGGCATGCCAATCTAAACGTATATTCTTTTGCAATACCATTCCCATGTTCGTAGTTACCTCTGAAATGCTTTCTAAACAATATGGAGTTCTAGGTTTACAAATCGTGGTGGCCAGCCTCCTTGGTGTCCCCGTGACTTAGGTTCCATCTTTGGTGGAACTGACACGGTGTGACTTCTGAGATTAGAAAATGACATTATGGCTTCCGCTTTGTGCTCTCGGGTCACTCGCTCAGAGAGAATCAGCCACCATGTCATGAATACGACAGCAGCTTTATGCAAAGGTACCTGTGGTGAGAAACTGAGGCCTCCTGCCAACACCCAGTACTAAGTGGCCTGTGACTGAGTGTGCCATATTGGATGGAATCAAACCCTCCAGCCCAGTCGAGCCTTCGCGTGATGATTCCCGGCCATCATAGTCACCGCCACCTCATGAAAGACCCACATCCAGAACCACCCGGCTAAGCCACTCCAGAATTCCTGAACTCCAGCAACTGTATGAAAAAAGAAAAAAAATGCTTATAGTTGTTAACAAACATACAAACAAACAAACAAACAAAAGGTTGGATCCCAAGGCTTTGAAACTGTGTTCCAGGGCCCTCATGGTTGGGAAACTCTGTGCGTGACCTATTGACTAGCTTAGTTCCCAGACTCTTTCCTCATTTAAGCCACTGCAGCAGCTCTGCCTTTATCTGATTTATATACTGATGATCCATGCAGGATTTGAAGAAAGGCGTCTGCTACCAAAAATAGGTTGGAAAGGGAAACATCAGATAAAATGACCCCTAACTGATGATTTCACCTATCAGTATGAAAAAAATACTTCTTACAAACACACGGACTGTCTTCTTCGGGGCTCGTTCTTCTTACCAGCAGGCACAGTCCTCAACAAGGTTGGAAACAGAAGTCTATGATGTGCTGCTCACTGCTGACTATGTCAGACACTGCCTTTCCTGTGAGTGGGGGTGGCAGAGGCCAGGCCACGGACAAAGCACTGTTCCTGCAGACGTACAGGCCTCTGAGCATAGCCCCCACCAGCCACCATCTGCTGGCTGCGAGGGGACGGGGGCTCTGTTTCTGTTGCTGACATTTGATTATAATAATAATGATGATTTTGACAATGATGGCTAGCATGTACCGAGTGCCGTGCGTGAGGCCCGGGGTACGGGTTGTACCTTCATAATCTCATTTAATCCCCTTGACTGCAAGGAGAAAGGCATTTTCTAGCTCAAAGAAATAGGTGTTGGTAGGTTAAATAATTTACCAGAGTCATGGATTAGGAAGATAAAGCTGCAATGAAGACTCAGTCTGTCTAGATCTATAAGACCCTCTGCCACCCTTTCATGTATTTTAGGCCACTCTTCAGAACTGGGTCTGAAATACATTGATTCACACTGAGTTTTTCATCGCTGTTATAAGAGAAGCTCTTCGTTCGTTCACTCACTCATTCTTGCAACTGACATTGACAGCCTACTCTGCGCCCACGTGCTGTTTTAGGCCCTGCAGACCGAAGGGCTTCACTGCAGCAGAGCTAGAAAATGCCTTCAAGGGACAGAAAGACTAGGTGTGACCTGGAACTGGATCCCAAAGAGCCGTGACCACCCAAAGACAGTTTCTCTAGGAATAGCCCTTCTAAGACTGTCTCCAAAGACAGCCTTTTTCTGTCCCCAAAGAAAGTCCCTCTAGTCCCTCTGGGAAGCCTGCCTGGGCTGTGCTTCTCCCGGCTGGGCAGCACACAGGGTCTGCTAGCCAGCACCATAGACACTGCACGAAGGCAGGTCGCTCAGGCATTGTGTCAACACAGGGGGCTTGGTGTTGAGTCCTCGCCCTGTGAAGTCGGCCCTTGAGAAGCTGCTGTTTGAAATCAAGTCTGCTGCAGCACTGCTCAGATATTTTCAAGTGCAGGTCATAACCACCCATGCGATCTAATATTTAGTCCCTTCTTTCAGTTGGTCTCGTTACCTTAGTAACAATTCTACTTTTGGGCTGGAACTGTTTTAATAAAACTCCAACTGTTTCATGAAAAGTGTTTTGAGGCCCCAACGAAGCTCCTCAAAGACGGGGCCAGCACCACTGCTCTACCTATAACCCCTACCGACTTGGCCCCTTGGAGGGTCACTTCATTCATGACGGTGAGTCCACCTGAGCTTTGAGGCTGGGTCGGAACCTGCCCCGGAAGATACAGGGTTTCAGTTCCACTAAGGGTAGGAGGGACAAACAGGCACTCCATGGCACCTGCCTCTATGGAGACCCTCCCGTGTCTCACTCAGCTCGAGCTCCAGATCAAGTGTCAGGGGTGGAGTGAAGTGGCCCCAGAACAGCCTCACCGGCTGCTCCCTCGTGCCACATTCCAGCAGCAACGTGCCAGCACCAGGCCCACGGCTGCCAATGATCCTGTTTTATCTTCAAACTACGGAACAGTCCTTTGTAGGTAGGCCTTCGCTTCCTCCTCCCACGACTCCAAAGGCCAGGCTCCTTCTTGGGCACGTGTTCCTCTGAGTCTCTGCTAGAAAGCAGGGCCAGTGCTAGTGCAGGGCCTTTTATCTTGTTTGACTTTTAGTCTTGTTTTGATATGCTCTCACTCAGGGATCTAGAAGGCAGGCAGCTGATTTAAAAACTCCTCTTGGGACTACCTTCAAGTTTTCCCAGTGTTTTTAAGCCAGTTTTTGACTAACTGGAGAAATAAGACGGGGCGGGGGGAGACTAGGTCACAGAGGATTTGACATAGCTTACAATGAAACTAGTCTGCTCTTGATGATTTAGGTGACTGAAGAGGTTTGCAGTTTAACTTGGAATAGAACGGGACCTGCCTATCCGACAGGGGAAGCTGGACCACTCTGACCAGCAGGTGCCAGGAGGAGAGGGGCCCAGGCCCAGGGCTGGCAGGCAGTGTGCCGGTGAGCTCTGCGTCCTCTCAACCTCCACTCAGGGGCTGGGTGCTCTCCAACACCCCTGGGTGAGGCCTAGCAACCGCTGCTGCTCAACTACTTACACATGGATAACCTACAAAGCAGTTAATGCCACCTCAATTAGGGGCTAACATCGTCCGATCAAGTGAGCAACAGGGCAACTTGTCATCTTGGAATCTGAAGTCAGCACTTTCTAACCCCATCCTTTTCCTGGCCTTTGTGGATTTAATTCTGGACAAGGAAGCCCTATTAATAAAAACAAGCAACAGTATTTGTAGGTTTAAAAAGGTTACAAAAAAAGGAGGGGGCCCTTTAATTTTGTAAGCCCATTTAAAGCATTCACCCTTCTGTCACGTGGACAGGGAGAAAGCAGGTGCCTAGCTGTCTACGAGCGGGGAAGAGCCCTCGCCGGAACCCAATGGCCCTGATCTTGGACTTCCAGCCTCCAGAACTGTGAGAAATATGTTTCTGCTGTTTAAGGCACCCAGTCCATGATCTTTTGTTGTGGCAGCACGAGCTGACTGGATACCAATTATTGATGCTTTTCTTCCCTGGTCTGGACTACAAGCTCGAGAGCAGTTTCTTGTGAGGAGGCTGCTTAGGAAACAGGGCTTGGCCTTCCCCCGTAGAAGGAACAGAGGCATTTGTGAAATTACAAAAGCATTTATGTCCTGGCTTGGCCCTAAAGCTGTGGCTCTCATCTTGGCTGCCTGTTAGGATCCTCTGGGGGGCTTACAAATGCGAGATGTCCTGGTAACTCCCCTCCCCGGGACCAGACCACCACCATGGGTAAGGTCCAGACATTTAAAGTGGTGACTCCAACGTGCAGCCAGGTGAGACCCGCCACCCTAAAGCTAAACGGGTGAAGTGCTGAGGGGTGAGGGGTCTCCACTAAAGGGAAAGGTGCCAAGTCCTTGTGCCTGTTGCAGAGCTGAATGGCCTGCTTTATGGGGATCGATGAGATAGAGGTCAAGCGGTACAGAAGGCGATGAATCATTTCAACAAATAGCATCAAACTCACAAAAGTTTTTATTGGAGGCAAGAAGTCTGGCTGAAAGGATTATAGTTCCAAACAGTCAAAATCCAATTGTTAGTGGCACTGCTTTTCACTTTGTAGATTCAAGTTAGTCAGAAAAGGATATCATGGTTATATTTCCTCAGCTGGACAAGAAAGGCAAAGAAAACGGAAAGAGAATTCTAATGTATGACACTGCTCTTCAGACTCGACACCAAGCTGGCCAAGGCCTTGCTGGTTCATGTGCAGGTCGCAGACCCGCCACCGAGGGACACAGGCCACACTATGCTACATACAGAAGAATGAGGCGGGGAAAGTGGCAGCAGGTCCGCTGGGGCGGAGCAGGCACCCACGGCTTCAGTACTCTTCTCTGAAGGGATAATCCTTGTGGGTGACAAAGCTGCCAGGAGAAAAGAGGAACATGTTAACTATTTAAGGAGAGATTTCAAATATAACAAACTACAAAACGATAGAAATGACGACTATCGCAATTTGGGCAGAAAGAGGCCTCTGAAATCTCTAAACAGCATCCCTAAGAAAATGGTTAGGGATAAAATGGCTAGCCTGATTATCTGAAAATTAAGGGGTACAGAGGTATTATGGACACTGGGGCAAAACCCAATATTTTTAAGCCTCTTAGAGTTAGTTTCGGGTATTATATATTACTATATATATTCCACAGCTATGACCCAGGTTTCCCCAGAAACTTTGTATGTGTATGTGTATGTATAGTTAGGAAAATTCCTCCTGGGTGACCTGGGAATACTGGAGACAACTTCTCCTTCCCCATTCTAGCCCTGACCTATCCCCATTAAGTATCAGTAGCCCACAGAATTATCCAACAGCAGTTTCCAGAATGGCACTGGAGAGTGGAAAGAGTCTAGTTGTAAAGGGACCAATTAGAAACCACTCGAGAACTTCAGTACTCTATGTCAGCAGTGGGGCGGGAAAGGGAACCGAATGAGTGATACAGATTCTTAAAGCAAAAGAGATGTAACTCGGTGAATGATTCACTTCTCCTCTCTCTTGCCCGTCAGAGCCAAGTGATTTTAATGTCTAAGGTTAAATACCATTAATGTAAATAAACGGGGACATCAGGAAGGGCCCTGGTTTGGGGCTGCCAGTGGTAAACTCTGTGGCCTGATTTGAATCTGAGGCCATGACGTGACAGCGACATGCTCACCGGGCATGCCCACACTTGAAGCACAGAAGTATTACCCAAGATGCAAACTTGGTGGACCTCTGCCAGGGGGAATGCCACTCTGAACTGCTGAAAGAGCAGAGGCTGGATGGAGAGAGGAACCGCCCTACCCTGTCTTAGAGAAAGATTGAGTTTTGCTTAGAAGAGTAACCAACTACTCAAAGAGACAGAGTAGAAACAGTCAGAGAGCTCAGACAATAACAACAGTGACAGAGGAGGTTCTTAGTCTCCACTGAAAAATGGGACGTTTCTTCTTCAAAGCAGAAAAGGAGTTTAAACTTCATTTAGTTATTGTACTGATAGGAAGAGAAAATAAACAACCTTACTGTCAGATTCCTTCAGATTCCAAACTACAAATCAGAGAGAATACAAGGGACCAGTGAATGAACAGCTGGAGGGCCTGTAGGTGACTGCCTGTCAGAGGGGTAGAGCGACCTTCTCAGAGTCAAGTGGCTTATTAGTGACAGAGCTGGGACAATCTGATGCCCTGTGCACCACAGTCTTTCTACTAAACCCCTTTATAACATTATAACATAAAGAGTCACAGGCAAATTCTCCCAGGAAGATGGGGCAGGAACCACCAGGGATCCTCTGGTTTCAGATGATTCGCTAAGATTTGAAAATTAAATGCCAAAATATGTGGCTACTGCAGGTCAGGCCAACAATGCAGCTGGGCCGGGAGAAGAGACTAGAGCAGATGCCCTGGCATCTTCCCCGTGGCTGTGTGTAGCTCAGCTGACAGATGTTTAAAGAGTTAGGCTTTTGCTCTGCAGCATCTGATACCCTCCCGGGACTCGCTCACCTCTTCACGACACAGACTCTCCAGTTCCTGTTGTAGCTGAGTAAGGTGGTCATATCTTCACTGCTCAGTTCAAAGTCAAAAATCTAAAAAGAAAAACATATCCAGCACCTCTGAAAGTAAAGCTCAAACACAGACTATCCCCAGCGACTCTGTGCAGGACCGCTGATAAGCAGCTGCCTTGAGCGGGAACAGGGGGAGGGAGACTCCACTATGTTTACTATTCGAAGGAGCCGTATGTTCTGGCTGGGAACTGTAACAGTCCCTCCTGTCCAGAAGCTCCAAGCAAAATGTTACCTTTTACTCCATTTAGTTCATTTCAAGACCGCCACTAAGCACTTCTACTGTGACAAGCACCAGGGAACACAATGATGGGTAAGACACGTCTTTGCCTCCGTTTTACAATGAAGCAAAGGAAGGACGACAGCTATAATAAAAGGGATAATTAACTGCGCACTGTGTAAAAGACATTGCACAAAGCACTCAGGAAGGCCAGAGGAAGTAGGAATTCTGGCTGGAGGACGGAAGGCTGTGGTCAGGGATGTGAGACAGGCCTAAGAAGCCTCATATAGTTTTGACAGAAAGGGCCAGACAGGAGAAGAACCATCCGCATGAGGACCGGTCTGCTGGGGAGAACGTGGCCGGCACGGAGGTGGGAGGGCAGGCCCCGAGCAGCAGCGGGCGAGCCTGGCGCACCCTCAGCGCCGGACGATCACAGCATGTGCAGGCAAAGTCTGCTACAGACCTGTGGTCACAATTGTGCCAAAATGTGCACGGACTACATAGCAAGATGCGAAACTAACATATTACTATGAGGTTAGTCATTTAAAAATGTTTCTTTTCTAACGCCTTGAAAGATAAAATACGAAACAAAGGATCTATCTCTAGCAAGATATGTGTTTCCCACGGCAGGCGGTTTTACCACTTTATCTCGATTAGTTAGAACATCTGAAGAAGGAAGAAATCCTCCCCTACTACACCATATGTTCCCCGCCCCTCCCCGGGCCTCACCCCAGGCTCCCAGGGGACCAATGACGCATGTTAGAGCCATAGCCTGTGGCCAGTGGACCAGGCAAAATTGGCATCTCACTGTGGGAGCAGCTGCTTGGAACCAAAGCTAGGTGGAGAGGGCATGGCCAGGATCCCGGCAGCGGGACTCCTGGAGCTGCTCTTCAACCCCACTGACCCCACCGCACAGACTCCCCCACTGGGTGAGAGGCAGGCCGACGTGCCCTGGAATCTGCCCTGGGACCAGCCCCAGGCACACCTCGCTGGTGCCTTGACACCAGCCCTGCTACTCTGCCCTTCGTGGGGTGGAGTCCTGGCAGAAGTGATGGGCAGGCTAATGGCCTGGAGGGTCTGCAGTCCACAGACGATCACCAGGACAGCAGCGCTTCTTGAGCACTTACTAAGGTACCAGGCGTTGTGTGAAGCCCTTCCTTTGATGTATCTTATTTAATCTTCATGACAACCCTCAAATTAGGTACTGCTTTACAGGTGGGGAAACTGAGGCACCGGAACTAACGAAGCCCTGATGCAAACTCACAGGGTGTTACTCGAGAATGACATTTCTCAGGGCTAACACTGTCACTGAGGAGACTCGGCATAGGAGTGCACGTGTTCGGGACGGCCACTGAGGCACGGAGCCACCGTCCTCAGTCTGCAGTGTGCTCACTGCACTCACTGCGGTTGGCTGAGAGGTGACAGAGGGTGGGGGTCCCGCACACGACCCTGCAGAGACGGGATGAGAGGCCCTGTGAAGAACCTCCCAGGAAAACCTGGGCCGACCAGGTGGGACCTTACCTGAATGTTCTCAGCAATGCGTTTGGGTGTCACAGACTTGGGGATCACCACCAAGTTCCTCTGCGTGAGGAACCGGATCAGAACCTGTGAACACATGTGCCGAGTGTACACGTACGCCGTGCACTCTGTCACTATCTCACTTAATTCTATATATCCATAACCAGAGGGGGAAATTCCAGAACCTCATGTGTGAGAAAACCAAGGTGCGGAGATGTCAGGGTCACACCCGGCGCCAGCGAGGTCAAGGTCTGGCCGCAGAGCCCTGCTCTCACCAACCACGTCACGCGCTTCCGTGTCCCCCCGACGTGCGACCCGCAAGGAGACCCTTCACTGCCGACCACCCACACCACCACGGGGTAGAAGACAGTGTCCCGTGCAGCTGCTGAAGAGGGAGGGGCTTTCACCTACAGGGGCCACTGCTGACCCTCGTAGCAGCCGAGGAAGGTAGTAGGGCAGGTACTACTACCCCCGGACCACACAAAAGTCTTCTAACTCCCCACTTGGTGCCCTTTCAACCACACATCCCAGGACCCCAAGCTGCACTTCTGGGGAGGGCTTGACTAGGCTCGGTCATCTGTCCCTCCTGGCTCCCTGGGCCTACCACAAACACGGACGGTCTGGGAGCAGTCATGAGAGCTTGGAAATGGCCGTACCTGGGCTGTGCTTTTCTTGTACTTATCAGCTATCACTTTGACCCTGGGATCCTCCAGTAGGGAAGGGTCCTCAGGCTTGGCCCTGGAGACGGAAAGATGGCCCACGTGAGCAGCTATCATCACCATCATTCACGGCAGCCAGCTCCCCTAACCCTAACACCCATCAACCTCAGAGGGCAGCCACCAGTGTCCTGATCTGAAGTTTGCTTATGAACTCCCAACCCTTTGGAACAAGAGCAGGTCTCTTGCTACTAAAAAGACCAAGCAGGAAGCCCAACAAGAGGCTCCTGGGAAGGTCTGCAAATGAGCCCCAGAAGCATCCTCCTTGATGCTGAATTTTTCTTTTTAGCCATTTCTAATCCTCACCAATCGATAAGAAAACATTTGTCCCATGGAAACTCACCAGGGCCTGTCAGGAGAGCCGAGGGGACTGTAGGCAGTCACCACAATGCCTTTGGACTGGCAATACTGGATTAACTTCTCCTGAGTGAGGTATGGGTGGCACTCGATCTGCAAATGGAAACAAGAGGTTTGATGGCAGCAGTGTGGGCACTGGTGATGGGACACACAGAAGTTTTCCCATGCTAAGCCCCTTCCCTCACAAGATAGAAAATTATGTATAACCAACATCCTGTCTCCCAGATAAGCTGTGACAACTGTCTCCGTTTCCCAGCTGGTGGCCTTGACACTAACAAAATAATCTTGTTACCGATGTACTGCGGCCACAGGCCCTAAGAGATTTTCTGGCCAGTTATCACCTGTGACAGGCCTGAGGACCTCGATGTCTATAAACTTCTAATCCGTGAGACCCTGACCACCACAAGCTAGGCTCAAAGCCCTCCTCTCTCCTACAAGTCTCACCCCCGGATGTGCCACTGTCATTCTGAATCATGAATGAGGACTCTGCCAGCGCCCTCGAACTCGCCTCCTGGCTACTCCCAGGGTGCCACGGCCAAGAAATGACTGCCAGGATCACACAGTAACAAAAGCCTGCCACCCACACCAGCTTCCCTGCTGGAAGCCTACCTGGTTAACCACCGGCTTATGTTTTAAGCCAGGTTTGTTTAAGATCCTCTCGATTTGGAGATGGTTGAAGTTGGAGACTCCGATAGCTTTCACCAGCCCTTCATCCACCAGCTCTTCCATGGCCTAAAGACGGAAAAGGGTCTGCTTGCTGCTGACATGTGCCCAAAAGGACAAGAATCCAAAGCATCTTCTGCACCAGCCCCACCCTCACTATCCCATGCCAGTGAGTTAGACCTTTGAGAAGTCCAAAAGACACCAAGAAAAAAGCAAGGCTGGCTTTAATGAGCCAGGAAGAGCAAAAACGGTGACAGAAGAACAAAATGCGGTGGAAAAAAATGGCAGAGCAGAAGAAGTCACACCCTGACAACAGAAAACCAGCAAGGAAGAAGAAAGCCAAACCAGGGACGGCCTTACCGCCCACGTGTCCACAAAGTCGGTATCAGAGGGAATCACGTTGCCTTCTCCGTCCAATGGAAAAAATTCGTTCCCGGGCTGTCATTAAAATCAAAAACAGACATTCAGTAACAGCCCTTCCTAGAGCTGCCGTGGGAGCTGCATCTCTGAAAGCAAAGCTCTAAAAATCTTCTAAACTACAACAGCTGGCTAAGTTTTTAGAAGATAATCAAGGACAAATCTGTGTGTCAGTGTGAAGGAGAAGAAGGCAGACAACTCCCGACGCCCCTGGATGCTTATTCTACAAATAGGCTGCTGCTGACTGTCAGACGAACCATTCTTGGTCAGTGAGATGAACCCCGCCATGGGCCGGAGTGTGGGTGAGGAAAGGACTCAGGACCAGGACTCACGGGGTCCAAGTCCTGGCTGAATCACTGGCCTATGAACTGTCACCTTACCAAGCCTTGTAGGCTTATCATAAAAATTAAGATTTAACAACAACCAAAAAAAGATAAAATCAGGCTCTGATACACCATTGTGCAATAAAATAGAGCTATGGGGTAAAGGCCACAATTTCCATCTCTCTGACAAAACAAAACTGAATTGTGGCTGCAATGAAGGTAAAAGATATAACAACATTAGATTCCTTTTGTGCACATAGAGTTACGCTGCCAGTAAATGTTCATCGATAGAATGGTGCACGTGTCTAGAATGTAGGAATCCACGTGCATACACATGCATAGGAAGGGGAGCGCTGATAACGTCCAAGGATTATTGCAGAAATGTCACCCGAGCCAAGTTTGCTATCCCTAAGTTGTATATGATACAATCACCGAATCACCTCAAACTCCGTAATGTGTATCTGAGCCACCTGGGATTCAGATTCAGACGCCCTGGGTGAGGCCTGAGACTGGTTTCTAACAAGCTCCCAAGCGATGCCACTGCTGCTGCTCTAAGGACTATACCCTGAGCAGTAAAGACACACACACAGCATATACATACTCGTAACCTGCTAATAAAGGAGGGTCTAACACGTATCAAGCTACACCTGAACCCTGTGCCCCATACCTTGAAGCCCATTGGCCAGTGAATAAGATAGAGGTCCAGGTAGTCCAGGTTCAGGTCGCTGAGCGTCTTCTGGCAGGCTCCCTTCACCTTGTTTTTCTCATGGTACGTGCACCACAGCTGAAGCCAGCAAGAGAACACATCTTATCACCGGCGCTGGAGAAGCCATGTCCTGGCGTGGAGCCAGAGGGCTTGAAGGCAAAGGATTCGCTTTCCTCTCCCCACAACCCAAGTCACCATGATGCTATAAATGGTGATAATGGAGATTCCATTTCACTCTACGGATCCTAACTTTCCAAAGGCAGGCAGGCAGGATATTCAGGTCACGGGCACCTCTCAAGACCAAACTAAAGGCACAAAACAGCATGAACAGGTCGGCGCGCCAGCCCTAGGCCCCATACATGAGTTCTCAGGGCGATTTTCCCACTAGGCTGGTTTTCGAGGAGCCAGCCTCGCCCACCCAGCAGGTGTCCTCTGGACACCAACAGCTTCCAGGTAAAAGACGGTGGTCGGCAGTGTAGATCCAGTCTGCAGATGAGAACCAAGTTCGATCCTCAAAGACGACTCCCTGGGGAGGGAGCACCAACCCGCGACCTCAGCCTCATCAGTAAGGGGCTCTAAGCGATGGATCCAGATGGAATGCCCATCCGCCTGCCAGCCGTGAATGGGCAAGCTCTGGAGCCCTCCACGGTCTAGAGTCAACACATTTTCCTCTGGAAGAATCACCTGCCAAGTGATAACTGTAGCTGTATTAAGAAGCCCCAGAGTATGACCTTGGCTCCTGAGCTGATGCCCTCAATGGATAAACATGAACGACACCTCTATCCCCCAGGCTCCCCTGCAGAACGGCACCTTGCTGACAATGAAGAGGTCCTCACGCTTCACCACCTGCTCCTTCAACTTCTCCTGGATGGCCATCCCCACCTCGCTCTCGTTCTGGTACACATGAGCGCCGTCAATGTGGCGGTACCCACAGTCAATCGCTGCCTTCACAGCTTCCGCCACCTTGCCTGGAGGGGACTGAAAAGTAACAGAAGGCATTGAGTTAAAACCCAAAACAAACAAAACACACAGTCTGCACACAACCCAGGAAGAAGGCCAGTGTGACCCTACTGGCTCTCGCTGAAGCGCGTGTCCCTATGCCAGCTACATAAAGCCAAGGAAAGCTTCTGAAGCACATTCTAAACTATTTGCTCTCAGAATGAGGTAAAATGCCACGTTGCTTCATTTTATGGTAATCTGACAAAGGCTTAATAGCAGCACAGGTCCCCTTAAAAAGATGTGCCAAAGCCATCTCGCTCCTTGTTTCTTCACATGCTGATTTACAAACCGCTGTATAAAATATTCTCTCCTCATCTGAGTCTATTAGGTTCCCAGAACCATAAAGAATATCATTTCCTTCAAATAGCTTAAAACAACAGTCCCCTTTTTGGCACAAGGGACCACTGCTCCTATGAGAATCTAAAGTCCGATGATCTGAGGTGGAGCTGAGGTGGTGATGCTGGCGCTGAGTGGCTGCAAACACAGATGAAGCTTCGCTCGTTTGCCCGCTGCTAGCCTTCTGCTGTGCAGCTGGGTTCCTAACAGACCACAGACTGGTACCGGTCAGCAGCTTGGGGGTTAGGGACCCCTGGCTTAAAATATTTCAAAAAGCACTGTTTTTTCCCAAATGAGAAACCCAATTCCCATTTGGTTTCCGAGCTCTATCAGTAAACACCTGCACTTTACTTTCTCCTTCCGTGCACGAATTCAGATACTGGTAATCACTTGTTTTTAAGCAGTTCTGCGAGATTATCATAAAGTTAAGAATGTTCCTTATGCAGATTCAAAGGCCTGGGCTTCAATTCTCGCTGTATAAGAATCCTGGAAGCTCACCATATGGTTTGTGGACAGAGCTGCAAAGAAACTGAATGGCTGTCTGTGCCCAAAATATCTGAGTAACCAGGACAGGTATGGGGAGCCTGGCTGTTGAGTAGGGGGAAGTGCCTGCATAGCCATCAAGCTTCACAGGTTGATCGCATGGACACTTACTCCACCTCCTGCTCAGACCAGAGAGGTGAAAGATAAACACTTCTGCACCAGTTGACTAAATAGGGCACATTCCTCTGGAGGGTTAGGGTAGGAAAGAATGAAAAGGAAACTCCCCAGGGGCATTAGCAGCTGTGAGCATCTGCTGTTTGGGCATCAGCTGCTGTGAACGGGTGAGGGGACAGAACATGCGAACAAGTGCATCCATTCCAAGAGAATAACCTGCAGCAGATGGACTTTAACTCGGTATCATGGTCATAATTCAATTACAGCCTTAGAGCCAACCACCACTGGACTTTTTGGAGGAAACACAAAATTACATATTCTGATAACTTTGGCCAAGAAACACTTTCCATGTGAGGGAACTTCAAGATCCTTTTCTTCAAGTTATGTTTACTAATTTTCAACTGCAGGTTTTAGGACAAAAGTAAAAACTGTCCACTGTTCTACTTCAAACCATGTCAAAGTGCACACAATACTGTCTTTTTCTTGTCTGTGCATAAATATCCAATGCCCAGTCCCATATTCAAAGTTTCTGGGGAAACCTGGGTCATAGCTGTGGAATATATATAGTAATATATAATACCCGAAACTAACTCTAAGAGGCTTAAAAATATTGGGTTTTGCCTCAGTGTCCATAATACCTCTGTACCCCTTAATTTTCAGATAATCAAGCTAGCCATTTTATCCCTAATCATTTTCTAAAGGACGCTGTTTAGAGATTTCAGTGGTGTTCAGGTTTCTGGAGACAATTTTAATACCGACGCCTGCTAAGAGTTTTCCATTGGTGGTAACCACCTGTGCCCAGATTCTCTGTGGAATTCTACCCCGCACATAACAACCCCAAGTGCCATGCCTGGCTAAAGGCGTTCAGCGTTGCGCGTCTGGGGACATGAAAATGAATGGGTCCCGGGTAAATTCGTGCCACCTAATTTAATTATCTGCAATCTCCGGGCTTCCTTGAGATGCTCATTCCCAAGAGAGAAAAATAGAAATGATTAAGGACAAACGATTTAGAAGAAAGACAAAGGGGCGGCGCAACAAGCGCCCTGAGGAGAGGAAAGTTGGCGCTCAGTGGCCCCCATCCCTTTCTGCTCCACTTCCTGGGCTCCCCCGGGTCTCCGTCCCGGGGCCAGAGCAGTGGGGGCTCGGGAAGCACCCCCTTCCCTCCGATTCCTTTCGGTCCCTTTTAGTGATTTTCCAGCTGGGTTCGGATTCAAGGTGTGGCCTAGGGTTCCCCCCCATCCACCAAGTGTCTACACGGGCGGCCTTCCGCGGGCGGCTCCCAAGCCCCTCACGCAAGTCCCCTGTCCCTAGCGCGCAGGGCCTCCCTCCCCCGCCTTGGCTCCCGGGTCCCGGCGGGGCCCAGCTGAGCCCGCCGCGGGCCGGGCAAGCCCGAGTGTGGCTCCGTGCAGGCCGGACGCCCTCCGAAGGTCGCTCCAGGTCGCTCCCCGCCCCAGGCTGCTCGAAGCCCGAAGAAAGCCCCGCGGGACGCACCTCTCAAGGCCCCTACCTTCCACGTGCCCAGCCCCAACAAGGGCATCTTGGAGCCGTTGCTGAGCATGATGTGGCCGGCCATGGCTGCTGAAGCCCGCAAACCCCGGAGCAAGGACCACGCCGCCGTCGTGCAGATGCGGCCCTCGGGTAATAGGTGCGGCAGGAAGCAGCGGGGTCTTCGATTGGCTGCCGCTACGCGCAGGCGGCTTCTGATTGGCCCGCCCGCGCCCAGGGTGCGGCCGCTGGAGCTACGTCAGGGCCTAGTGGGCCGTACTTTTCCGCTCAGATTGCTGGGGCATGACCCGCGCAGCAGCAAGAGAACTCGCCAGCCCCTGTGGTGCCTGGAAATGCGAATGCTTTAGCAAAATTAAAAGACGTCCTACAAATAAGTACCCTGGGAGGGAGTTTTGGTTTCTTTTCTTCTCTTTCTTTCTTTTATTTTTTTAAGGGTCCGAAGAATATGTTCGTCTATCTGTTATTCGAGCCCGATATCACGCTCTTTGAGAGGTTGACGATACCCGCTCCTTAATTTGTGCGAACCATAATTTGACTGCAGGTTTATCTTCTAGGGTATTTTGCTCTTAGGAAGACACCTGTCAGAGAAATGACTTGCAATCTTATTGCAGAACCTCTTCTCGAGATTTGGGGTTGCCCAGACTGTCTTTGTGTAGCTCCTCGGGCTATCTCCACACCCTGCCATAGTTGTGAGCAGCGTCTGTGCACAATAGGTTTGGTTCGGCAAGCCTTCTTCCAAAATCCAGCATTTCTGCAGGTTAGGAAGCATCCATGAGCTTGATCCAGAACACACACAGAAGATAATAAACTTTTAGAAAACGAGACTCTATTGAAGTGGCACGTTTAAATCTAGTCATTTAGCAAAATTCCAGAAAAAGTGAATTCAAGGCAGAAACCCACAAAAGAAAAATTAGCTTTGATAGTAAAGCTTCAAGTACTTCAAATAAAGGGATGCTAAATAAATCGATCAGCCCTAATTGGCAGGTAAAAAGACACATTATTTTCCAATGCAACCAAAGGAAAGTTCCCGGAAGAACTTTGAAGACAATCTTTGTTTCGTTCCAACAACCTCTCTCCATGATGCTCTGTCCTCCCCCAAACCTGCTCTTTCTGCTCCATCACCCTCCAATCTTTCCCCTAATCATGCAAGACTGGGAATTATGTCTGCTGGTAATGACTCAGGAAACAGACCTCTCTAAACTCTATTCTAGTGATTTTCCATTTGAACGATTCTAAAAAAGTGCCCCCTAGGAAAATTTTATACACATCAGACTAGCCCAGATATTTTTCCATTTGACTTTTATAAGAACTATTGGTAGGAGGTAAATTCTGATGCTATTTGTCCCCAGATAATAGAATTTTAATTTCCCCGTAAAGCTGGTCACACGGTTTACAGAAAGCCCAGGTCCAGTTTTGTGGTGAAAGAGGAATAGCCCACCACTTTATATTCATAGATCCTCATTGACATAGAGGTTGCTGTCCTAAAAGCTAGTCTTTTGGGGAAATGATACACCTTGAATGACCAGGCTGGTCTATACACAGGAGTCATCTGTTAAGGACCTGGACTCAACATGAAGAGCTTTGTTGTTGTTTCTATGATCACTGAGTATAGACGCTGACTGCATGAAGGCATAACTATCTAAAAATGGAGTATTCTGACCAGGTTATCCAAATGTGGGAACCAAAGGAAGAAGACAGAGGCCTCAGCCCCTGCGAGGGAGTGGGATGGGCCTTTCAGGCTCAGGGAACTGTTCTGCTGGGGAGCTGGCTCCAGCGTGTCAATATTTATTCACGTTTGTTTGCAAATGAGGTTTAGATGGCAAGGGTTATTGAGAGAAGTGCTAATATTAATACTCCTCTTCGATACTGGGAATAAAAAAGGGAGGAGAGAGAGAGAGGAAGAGGGAGAGAAGGAGAAAGAGATTTTGTCACTTTTAGTGTGACTGTTCCATTTTTTGTGCATAATAACATCCACTCTTCTGGGTGCCTTCTGTATATCAGGCACTTCAAATACATTCTCTGACTTGATCCTTACAACTTCCTGGCAAAGACAACTGACTACATTCCTTTCCCAATTTTCAGAATGAAGAAACTGACATTCAGTAATTTGCCCAAGGCCAAGAAGTTAGTAAGTGGCTTTCCTTTAAAATTTTGATATTTTATTCATCATGAATTTTTTTTGCATTAATTTAGATTTTTAAAATATTGCATAAAATATAATTTATCTTGATTACTGAGATGTTGGGTGCCACTCCCCCTCAAATTCTGCATTGAGGCAAATACCTCACTGGCCTCACTCTGCCTAAGAGCACCAAAATAAAAAAGAATCAACCCACAGGGGTGGAGTTGTTCACACAGAGCAATCATTATCCACACTGCCATAATTTGTGACTGCCACACTCTTCATAGCACATGCACGAGAATGTGAGTGAGCGTCTGCATGCATCTACACAATTTCCACCCCTGCAGCCGTCACTGCATCCCTTTATCTTCCAGCCAAGAAAGCTTAAGAGAGAGCAGATGAGTGAGGGGAGCCTTCTAACAAGTTAACTTTGAGACCATTTTTGTAAGAAATACCTAAGGTATTCATGAATTATTTATTTGTAGAAACCAATGACCATGACATCCCTCACAGCTTCTGGGGCACACTGAGGTATGCTGGCTCTGTGGCTGAGAACTTCTAGTATCTGTGGCTTCTTCTTTCTGAGTGAAGGGACTTAGGATGCCTGGTGGCAAGAGAGGAGATTTACCCGTACGTCAGTGTGGGGGAATGGGCCTCACAACACAAGTAAATACATCTCCTGCACTCTGATTTATGAATAGGTTACTGGTGAAATTGAGAGGTTACTGATGAAATTGAGAGATCACCTCATTTATCTGGGATTCTGGTTTGGTGGCAGCAGAGGAGGTGAAGCTCAGTGAACCTACGAAATTGCTGAGACAGATTCTGTTATTTTTTTAAGCAGGCCACAGAGCAGCTTGTCATTCCCCATCGGCATGGACTTGGATGAGATGCCTGATAACTTCCTGGTTGCCAGCTCCTGTTTCATCCTCACTGGGCAGACCCATGCCCGTGCTGAGAAAATCTACTAGAAGAAAAGATCTCTGTACACGGGCAAAGTGCACGTGGTATTAACAAATTTGGCACCTTTATGGAAGATGGGTATTCATTCAACAAATCCATTAATTTATCCAACAAATATTTACTAAATATTTAATACCAACAGGTACTGTTTTGCAGAGATAAACAGAACCAAGTTTCTGGCCATATGAAGCTTCGTTCGTAGGCGGGGGAGAGAGTAAACATTTAAAAACAAGCCAGTGGAATATCTGGTCAGATACTGATAAACCATATGATGGAAACAAAAGAGATGATAAAGATAGAGATGAGGGCAAGGTTGACTGCCTTGACAAAGAGAATGGAGAGGAAGCATGAGCCGTGTGTCACCCAGAGAGACACATTCCAGCATGCCAGAAGAGTCCTGGGTGGCGCCTGAGGGTGGTATGAGTTGGTTTGTGTGTATGGGGTGGGGGGCAGGGGGAGTGATAGGAGAAGCAAGAAGTGTGTGTGAGTAAAGCAGAGAGAGTGCCTTGGACGTCCCTAGGAAATGAAGTTGCAGCTAAAATGCGGGGCGGGGTGGGGTGGGGGCGGGGGAGCCGCAGGTCAGATTATGTGGAGCCGTAGAGCCGTAGAGCCAAGAAGGGCCATCACAAGACAATTGGGTTATATTCTAAATGTGACAGGAAACCACTGGAACATCTTTAACAGGACAGTATCATGATCTGATGTACACTTTAGAAGGAATATTCTAGTTGCAGTGTGTAGAATAGACCCAGGATGCAGGGAGAGACAGGGAGAGCAGTCTGTGGCTGACTGCAGCCATCTAGGGGATAGAAGGAGGTACCCTGGTCTAGGGTGGTGTCACAGGTTGGGTTGTCTGGAAAGCAGATTCTGAGATGGAATTTAGCATGCAGAGTGCTTATTCACGAGAGCCCTTGGGATAAACACCCGTGAAAGAGAAGGGACTGGAGCAGCAGTGGACAGAGGGAGCTCCGTACGAGAGGACCTGAGATGTCCCCTGTTGCACTGAGATGGCCAGGTATTCAGACTATACCATAAAATTTATCTGGCATCAGATATGAGCCACCTCTGTGACACTGGGTAAGGTGGCTCTCTGCCGCTGAGACAATATCTCAAGGATCTGATTGCTGAATGCCGTATGCCAGCTGGACTTGCAGCAGCTGGGGCGGCAAGGCCTTCACCGAGGGGCCCCTTACAGCAGTTAACAGGACGAACTGCAGCCACTGTGCTGCAGCTGGTCTCATCTAGAGCCATAACTAGAACTCATCCTCTCCCTCCTCCACTATGCATTCTAAATCCCCCCTCACTCCTACCCATAACCTCAGGAGGTCTTAGGGACTTACCTGGTGTCATGACCAACACTTCCATAATCATACCCTTCTCATTCTGGGGGTGCCACACATATCCACTCAGTTATAATGGAGCAAGGGAGCCCCCAACCCCCTCTCACTGATTGGGGCCAGTTACACCTGCCAGGGTGGTGACTTTCATCTTGCTGGCTGATCATATTATAATTTAATTATAATTTAATGGGACTCTTGCTGCGTCCACGGACAAAAACGCCTTTACTGTGGTAGTTGCGAGATGTAATAATTTGTTCTTTTCTTTATTTGGGTGGGTTGTCCCAGAATGCCCCAACCACTGGACCCCTAAAAATTTTACTGGTGTGACATGCATTCTAAATCACAGTGGGGTTTATTTCCTACCCTCTGGAATGCATGTTTCTTTCTAGAGTCTCCAATGTGCTACCTGGATTAGAGTAGGATGTTCAGAAGGGCCAGGTGTCTTTGAACTATGACAAAGTCAAAACAGTTAATTTAGCCCTGGGGAAAACCTGTAAATGTGTACTATTCTGTGTTCTGTCTGAAGGCAAACTGTCTCTGATCTTCTTTATAGATGAGAACAAAAAAAAAGTTTATTTGCCAAATATGAAGGCAAGGTGTAATTACTGCAATAGACCATGGCATCTAAGCTGGATAAAAAAAAGAATGGAGGATGAGATGTTGATTGTCCAGGGAAGGTGGTGGTGATAGACAGTGAGTGATATGACGTAAGGTTAGTGGATTAGAGATCTTCA